CCAAAACGACCCTGAGAGGTCACTGCCAAGGTTGTCTTCTCTCGCAGCGTCCTTGTTTGTTAGATGGGGAGGAGAAACAGATGTTTCAATATGATTAACGTTGCTTAGAGGTAGCTTTAGGGATTATTGTCAATAAACATAGAGTATTTTCACATTGATGGTGTAATCCATGTAACTTTTTATTAACAAAAGGATCATGTTAGCTGTAGAACACACTCTCATTCATTCATTAATAATAATAATGACTACTGATATTATTATACGAGTATATAGTGCATATAAATGAAATATGCATTGTCAATAAAATGAATCAACTACTTCTGTTTCAATAACTGAATCTACTAAATATTTATGACCAAATAACTTTGCCAGATTGACAAATGATGCGCTTATTAACATAAAATGATGCACATGACCTAGAAAACAACATTGGGGTCCTCTATAATTGCAATTGTGCAGAGGTTTTCAACATTTAGCAGCAAAATAATTTGTTCAACGATGTAATTACATTGTGTTTACCTGGACAATAATGTAAGCTTCTGCTCCAGCATTATTTCCAGCTTTTGAGCCTGTTTGGAGATCCAGTGGTCCACCCCATGGTAGCGATAACAGTTCTCCAACATCAGCCTGAAGTCTGCAACAAACTCTGTTATTGTCCCATACTCCTGGCTAGTGAACTTTTCCTCCATCCGCCTCAAACACATGGACTGCCTGAGCTGCGCCTGACCCTGTCCGCGGACACCTCCAATACCATGCTGGGCCTCCTGGTGCCCCACGGGATGGAGGAACGGACCGGTGATCCCCTTGTGCTTGTCCAGCAGAAAGCAAGTGAATATCCTATAAGCTTGCTGGACCTCATGGTTCATATTCTCCTCCTCGAGGCTATTGCTGTTAGTGGAAATGCAGACCTCGGGCAGGGAGAGGTCGCTGTTAGAAAACTCTGACATGTCGTCACTCTTTAGTGCCAGGTGGTCCATAGTCTCAAGTTCACAGGTGCCATTACTGAGCCCATCCTCAGTTATTACCAGGTCAGAGCTGAGCTGCCAGGGTGCTGGGCCTCGGTCAGTCACGGTTAAGTCTTGATTGTGGAACAGTGGTTGGCTACAAGCTGCTGTGATTTGTGCCGTCATATCCTCCTCCTCCATAATGCAGACACCTAAAAAAGGGTAACAGGTGTCAACTATGGTGAACTTTGATATTGCAAACAACAGGGCTCCAATACAGTTTAAATATTGAAGTAGGTAGAATAAACTGAACAAGAATCAGACAAATAAAAATAGCTTACAATCACGAAATCATGGCAGAGAACAAACCTAACAAACCTTATTATTCCTGTCATGGCAGGTGCTCACATTAGAGCAGCAACATAATAATAGACTAGGATGTTTACCTCGTGTGTCTGTCATCAAATCACCAGCGGCTGGACTTGACTTCATCTACACCTCTGCATCTTGGCAAACTTTTTAGTTTCCCCTGGATCAATGACTTGCTAGCTTGAAGTTAACCAGCTAATAACGAGCTAGCTAACGGTTCTTAAAGCAACAATAAGTAAACAAAGTTTGTCCTGCTCGCTAACAGATGCATCTGCAGATGTTGTTACGTCTGTCTCCTGATCACGTGCAAAGTAAGAAAACAGTGTCTAGGGGCAGAGCCGGGCTGGTTAAACATACCTCGACCTTTTTTCAGTGCGGCTCCAGACACGCACCCGGGGCGAGACGAGCTTTTAGCGAGCTAAGCAGCAACGGCAGCTCGCTAGCTGGGTTAGCTTGCTATTGTCTCCAAACTGCGGCCTGCAATTGCTGCGCTCGCTGTCCATTGTGGAAATTTTGCAGCGACCGAGTGTCCGGCGGAGAAAAAGTTACGCAGACATGTCGTGTCGCCAGCGCACGGTGAGATGTCAGTGACAGCGAGGTGGCTAAAGGCGCATTAGCCGGAGCGTCGCTAGCCGATTGTCCGACAAGGCACGGCAGCTCGTTATCACTAGCCATCCGGCTAACCAGCTGGGTTTGCAAGTTGACAGCCACTTTGCGCCGCTCGGGATGTGCCAGGTTCGCCTCAGGGACAGATTTGCGCCGTTTGTCAAGTATCTGCCGGATCTCGCAGGGTTAGAAAAAGCTCGTAAGAGACAAGTGAGCGGTTCCCTTCACTTCCACCCTGCGTGCTCCCGATGCTAACGTGCGCAGCCTGACGTAGCCAGCTGGTCGCGTGTCACAGCAAACTGTGATTTTGTTTTTTTTAGGGACGATGTGCTGCTGACACACACGCTGTGTTTCCACCGTGTTCTTAATATTAAGCTGCTGCAATTATTGAGTGGCCCGATGTCAGTGAAAGAGGATCGTCATCCTTCAAAGTGAGACTTTGCACATAATTCATGAAACTAAAGCACACGAAGAATAAAGAAGGTGTGTTGCGACGTTCATTCATAACTAAAGTGTCACTGAGAGAAAACACACAAACTGATACTGATGCTGCAACTGAAGCTGCTCATGTGTCTCACTTCTAACCGCTAGATGTCGCCAGTCACCAAACAACGACACACACGTGATTGGCTTTATTATTAGTATTATTTATTTATTGTAGTTTTTTTTTAATGCACGTTATTGGGTTGTTTCTTCTTCCTCTTCTTGTTTTAATAATAATAATAAAAAACGAATAATAATGATATGATGGCGATGGTGATTATTATCAGTAGCAGTATTTATTCATGTTTCAAGTTTTATTTGTCAAGTTAACACAGGGTCAATAGTACAATGAAATGTTGGACGAGAAGAAACTGGTCATCTCAGCAGTACAATCAATACATTTAGAAAATGAAAGCAAGGTAGAAAGCGCTGACTATAAAAAAGTAAAATACAATACAATTCAAAACTGATTTTGCACCATTCAAAGGTGCATTCATTGCAAATGAAGTAACAAGTTGAATGATTATTAGTATTAATATTTGTGTGGCTTCTTTGCCTGACTCTAAGTACAGTCGAAAGCTCCACCAGCACACAGCTATTCTTGTTATCTTCATATATTTGGGCTGGTATATGTTAATTCCAGTGTTGGAGTTAAGAGTTGTAAAGTATCTGAGAGTGTGGACAGCCTGACAGACTACCATCAGGGGTACGCAGTAATGTGTTTGAGCCATAAACTGCGCATACATAAATAGATAGGTTCCCACTGTTGTTGGCTCAAGTGGGGATGAACAAGGATTAGTGTGAAAACTTGTTGTTTCTGAACACATGCATAGCATAGCAGCAGTCATTGTTTTATTACATCTGTCATCATGTCTATCAGTGAAGGACAGAACATGCAGCATCAGGAAACTGTATCATTCTCTCATACTGACAGTCTTGCCAGTGGCACATCGACGTCTCCAGCTGGGACAATTGTTAATTAAGCACTCACGCCACGAGAGGCCTGCGCTTTAGTTCAGCCACAAGGAACTGTCAGTCAATGGAGCTTTCATCCCAATACATTCTTCTTTTTGATGCACAATGATGAAAAGTAAAAAAAAAAGGTGTGTTTTAGTGGTGTGCACAAATACCCACCAAGCACACAACATAGTCTTATCACTGGAGGTTTAAAGTGGCTTCTACTGTTTTGCAAATAATAGATTTTGAGGAAATGTGAATTATTTCAAAAATGCTGAGCTGAGACAGTTTTTTATATTTCACAAATGAAGACAAATGTCCTGTCATAAAATATGTCAGATGAAAGATTTTTGTTTGGTTGTTTTTGAAGGATTTCTGTATGAGGCAGCGACCATTCAAATTATTTCATACAAGGCAATGAAATCCAAAGCAATGTTTGAAAAAGAATTATTAAAATTCTACAACATCAACTGAAGGTAACTAGCCAAGAAACTAGTAGAAATCTGTTTGTAGCATAGAAGCTATTAAAGCTGCTTCCTACACACACATACTGTTGGGTTTATTTTCCATGCGTATCAGGCAGGAGCGGCTCCAGATTGCTTGAATAATAACTTGTGTCCTATAAGCATGTAATCAGTTGTAAAATGCAGAATTTAACTGCACAATAACCGTTTGTAAAGACGACACTGACGAACCAGCGAAGGCCGTGACCCTGCAAAATAGCTAAGTTAAAGGTTCAGTGTGTAATATTCAGGTGAAAGGGATCTATTGGAAGAAATTGAGAATAAAATAATCCTAGTGATGTTTTCACTCGTGTGTTTCATCTAAATTGTACGAATTATTGTTTTCTTAACCCTAGAATGTGTTCTTTGTATTTAAATACTTTGTATTTACATGGGTGCGAGATCTCTCTAGGAGGCCGCCATGTTTTGTACAGTAGCCCAGACTGGACAAACTAAACACCTTTTGAGTTTTTATGACAACTGAAGGTTCTCTTTCATGTTTGGAAGGGGACAGTGAGGTGAGGGGTATTCAGCTGCAACATGCAACGTCACCACTAGATGTCGCTAAATTCTACACACTAAACCTTTAAAGGCACTTGTGAATACAGATGTTATCTACCTGGTTTTAATACTGCAATGGATGGAGCATTCCAAGGACCATCAGGCACTGTGCTGCATAGTGACTAAACACTGCTTCTCCCTGTTTAGACTTTGGGGGCCTCTCTCAGACCACTCTGTGCTGATCTCAGTGGTAACATGTCTGTTATGTAATCACTGCTCCAGTAAGCTTAAACAACTTTAAAACCAATCCTGTGGCTCATGGCAGCCAGTGTAGAGATGTAAGATGTGCTGGTTGAAGAAAAGAGGGCTTGGGATCGCTGCTGCTCCACAGAGGCTCTCAGTATGTGTTTGTATTAGCTATTTTAATCAGCTTTGTTTTTTCAAATGATCCACAGTGTATTTGTTTGAAGCATACATTGAAAACATCAACGGACCTCTGTAATAACGGAATGATTACAAAGGAAGAAAGGTGCGCGCTGTGTTTGTGATGACATGAAAAGGTGAGCTGCGCCTTTAACTGCAAACTCGCTCCCGACGTTGTTTCGCGAGATTTGCTTGGCGCCGCGACCTCATGTGAGACACCTCCTGCGCGAGCCAGTCCGACGTTACCTCTGCAGAGGAAAACGCGATGGACCCGTAAACACACGCACACATTTCTTTATTAGTCTCGTTGTTATTGTTTCCGCCTCCTCTCAGCCGCGGTGAACGACGTTGGCGCGTAAAGACCGCCGCTTTCTCCCGCATTCATTCGAGGCGTAAACAGGGCGGCGCAGCGATGTGGATCCAGGTTCGTACTATAGACGGGAAGGAGACGCGAACCGTGGAGGATCTGTCGAGGCTGACCAGAATTGAGTCCCTTCGGCTGAAAATACAGGACATCTTCAACGTGGGCCCGCAGCAGCAGCGCCTCTTCTACCGAGGGAAGCAGGTAAACAACACTCGTGTGCCACAACCATTACGCACCGGGCGCTTTAGCAGGGAGCTCTTAACCGGAGAGTGGTCCTCACAGTGTTCAAGTCCGTTTCGGACCCATGCGAGCTTCCTGTTTTGATGGGAATTCACCAATAGTTCTTGCGCAAGAGCCCCCCGGGGGGTACGCGGTGTGCCAGCTCCCTTTGGGGAGGTTAAAAAAACATAGATCGGACCTGGATGTACGGTCGTGTGGTGATGAAACACTTTCACGTTGTTTGGGTTAGTGATTGAGGGAGAGCTGCGTGCAACAAATGTCTCAGACGTGTTTGTTTACATTGCACAGAAAGTAGTGCGATGTAAACAAAACCACCTCCACCCCTCACTCACTTGATCAACTACAAGCTGATTGACACATGCACCAGCCTCCACATGTATATGTTGTGTTTGAGCTGCACTGAGTCAGGCAGACACCGTCAGGCTCGTGCGTTATGATGCTGGTAATGATAATTGGAGGGAGGAGCGGACTCCACGTGCCCTGACATCCATAAGCAAGTGTAGCAGCAGTTGTGTTTACACGCTGGTGTCACTACTGTACACACACCTCCCTCTCTCTCTCTGTCTCTCTCTCTCTCTCTGTGTCTCTCTGCTGTATAGATGCCCACCTTGACCCCACATGGCCTGACAGTCCAGTGGTGCACATGCAACATCTGCACGTTTGTATCTAATCCAGGATTGTCTCCAAACACTCCTTTAAGTGAGATATGAATCTGGTTTGCAAGGCAGTACTTCAGTATTTAGGATTAGTTGAAAATCTAGCCATTCTTACTTTGTAATAAATAATTAGTAGACAATCAACAAATTATATCCTATAAAAATGGCTACATTTTTCAGTTTTGGTTGCAAAGTGAGATACTTTTTTTTAACATATTTTCACTGATTCCATGCTTCCAATAATTGGTTGTTTTTTTGGCTTTACTACGTCTTAGTTGTGAGGTTACATCAGCAGTGCAGCCTGCAGTATATGTCTAAGTACTTGATGTATTCATAAAGTTGTGTTTCTCATATTAAAATATATTTATGTTTAACTCTATTTATTTATAAGGGGCATTGCACCTCAAATAACATGCATACTCAATTCCAACATTTAAATATGCCAGAATAAGCATGCAGGCTATGATGGATATTGTGATCTGTAGGTGTTATGTCTAAAGGAATAATAAGTAAAGTTTTCCATCACAGCGTGAAATGTTAAAAAACAATTATCTGTATTATATGTTTTAGAAAAGTTTTTCTTGCAAAATACAAATAAGTATAGATTTAATTTGATCAATATGCATTTAACTGTGAATCTTGAGGTTTTGAAAACTGCTTTAAATATTGTGATAATGATATAATTAGTAAACATGGGAGTATTCACAGTTTTATCAAATAGACCATGCAACATAGATTGGATCATAAAGGCTTCATAAATAATGTATTAGTCAGAGTTGACTTGGCTTTTAGTCAGACAATGTACTTTTTGCTTTGACTCTGGACATTACACATCACTCTATATCCTACAGAGAACTTCAAATACATACAACTAACCGTCCTGAAAGAAAAAAATATTTTTGTTATAACATCACTTGATTTTTTTGACCAAGGTCAGAATAAACTAATGTGTCTTTAGTCATAAGGCTACAACAATGCTGGAATATTTAGTCACTGACCACACACTGTGAAATCATGTTAAGATAAAAATGTGGTGATTCATATTTTATTGTCAACAGATGTTGGTGTAGTTTTTCTCTCTCCTACAGAGAGATTTAATGTTATTAAATGCCAGCATGTGTGGAAACTGTTAAGATGCTGCCCTCAGATGGTCATGGACATGTTTGTATGTGTCATGAATGCATTAAAGCCTTTAAACTCAGGCACACACACACACAGATTCCTATTGTAAATGGAACTTTTAAAGTAGTGGATTGAAATGTATATCCTAAACTTTTAGGTGTAGTGCTGTGATTTGACAGAAACTTCAATTCGGTCTGATTAGACGTCTGTATCATTAACTATTTATGTTCGAATATACAAACATGACAGAATCAATATATCAAAGACAGACAGACACTCTCTTATGATGTGGGAGATGTTACTGAAACCAGAAGTAATAAACAGAAAACTGTATGCAGGTCAGGATGCTGGCTACATGTTTTATTTAGCATCGTAGCTAAACATTACAACTCTGGTATTAACTCGGTATGTCCCAGCCAAGAAAACGATCCCCCAGGAACTAAATGGCCTACATGATGTGTTGATCTCACATTATTGACATTTTGTCACACTTTTCCTTCACTCACTATGAGTCAGACAGTCTCATAGCCTGAGAAGTTCCTTTTATAGCTGTTTATCTGCATTTGCACGTTGTCTAACCTACTTCTTGTTGTGTAATTAAATGGTAATGAATTCTTGCAGACGTGAGATTCTGCGTCACAAACAAAGGGTTCATTTTCCTATTTGTTGTTGTGCTGCTGTACGCTGCTTGCGTTGCTGTCTACTCTGTGAGACTGTAGTTCTTAAAAAAACCAAACGAAAGAAATATGAACAGTTTGGAATGGGGATTATAGCTTATTTTTGTCGGTGAACCATTATTTAGATGGCAAACCTTATTTATGAGGTCTTTTAATTGTTCTGAGCAGTTTTTCTCTTGTGCAACAAAACACCACAGTGACCAAGTACAAAGCAAGACTGTCCTGCTCTAAATTCAAGAATGTACTCAACAGTGGGGCCATACAATGTCGTACATTCGCTTCATTTACAGTTAATTAGCTGTTATGTTAGAATTGTCTTCACTGTTGGAGCTGCGGCTGTAAAGACTAATCCCATGTAGTAAACCCAGTATTTCCTCCATTTCACAGGAAAGTAAAGTGGGGAGGGTTGATTGGGGGATTTCCACGAGTTAAGTAACACAAGGAATGAGCCAGTGACACGCAGCGTGCACTAGCTATTGCCCCTACATGCACGCAGCCGTCCCGGCGCTCTGTTAGGATTTAGACTCGTAGCAGAATAACTCAGTCTAATTCCCTTTTCAAAATGGCGTCTTGTTTTTCCCTCCAGCTCAGTGCGCACGCTGCCTCGCCAGTTCAAAGTCATGCTTGCCCTTGAGTCGGAAGGGTCTCAAGCCAGCAGCCGCACAACTTTGCCTCAGTGTTTGTTTGTTTTTTTTTGTAATGGGTTTTTCAATTTGCCTGACTGCACGCTCCTCGTCGTGTCTCTCTCTCTTTCACTTTGAACAACGTCTTATATCACTCACACTCACGAGCAGGCTCACACACACCTTCCACTGTCTATGCGGCCTTTCTGCTCAACGCCTACTCTCACTTGCACTGGAGCCTTCTCATTTACCAATTTTAAAAAAAGCTTTCTGTTTATTAACTGCTTTAAACCTCAGCTTGAAATGCGTCAGTGTGCTTCACATATCAGACTGTAATCCATTTCTTTTTTTCCCTGTGGAGGCAGCAACATGTTTCACGTTGAAATAGTTGGGCCGTCTCCTCTGTTACCCAGTGTCGGGCTGTAGGAAAGCTTTACTGCCTCCTTTTGCGCAAATAGTTGCTGTGACCTAGATATCGTCACAATTTGATTATACATGCATTGATGTTGAGGCTGCTCGATTGATGGGTTTTCTTTGTGCATTGCTAAGCTGTAGATTTTCGTAGGCAATTCCAGGGGAAGCAGATTTGGCTGCAGCCATGCATGTACACAGTCACACCCTTCTTCGACAGATAGGCCGAACAAAGAGCAAAGACAAAGGGGGGCATTAAACCTAGTCTAGAACTGCAGGCTTTTCCAACACTCCCACATGTTTTCATAGTTTTGCCACTCCTTCTCGCTTAGTGCTCATATGTCCTATCTCTACACTGTCGACTCATGCACGTGTGTGGTAAATAGTACGGCTTCCTGTGCTATTTTTTTTTCTACTCAGATTACAAGAGGAGTTCTCGGGCTATTATCCCGCCTCTTTTTCTCACATGGTTGTCACGTTTGGGGTATTCTTTGAGTCTATTATAGCACATGTTAAATGTATAGAAATTAAAAAACAATGTCATGATCCGTGCCTTAAATGTAAACATAAGAAATTTAAAACACAGGGTAGCAACCTGCAGTCTGGGCGTAATTGATTTTCAGCTTATTTAATACACAGTCAAACGCTGCTCGGCAATTAAATCCAACGCTTTCTAGTTATTAGTACTCACTCGTTACCTCTTAAAGTTATTACATAATTCCTACTTACCTACAGTTGGAAATGCAATGAATGGAGTGTAGGTTTTTATAGCACCTTCATAGATTGATAGAGTGGTATTTAGAAACCACTGCTTAATGTAATAGAGAGATTTTCTCCAAAGTAGCTAATAAGTTAACCCTTCATAAGGACAACATGACAAAACTGAAATATGTGCCTCAGCGCTGTGAAAATGTTCCTTTATGTGGAGGAACATCGAGCTCTAACAGAGGCAAAAAACAAGCGTTCACCTTTCGCAGTGGAAAATTTTGGAAGAAGATTAAATGACCGTGATCAGAACAAGAGATAAAAAAAAAAACACACGATGGTGAAGTGTGGTGGTAGATGGCACATCCCATGTCATTGTTTTTGGAAATCTGACCTATTTTGCTCTGGGAAAAGGAGGAGAAAAGGGTGAGGAAGAAATCGTGTAGGAGTTTGGGGTTTGGATGGTATGCCTGTGCACAAGCTGTTAACGGCCGCCCCTGCTATGAAATCTCCTCCTTATCCGCTGAGTGGACCGGGTTGTGTTTCACACCTTTAAACCTCTTTTTCAGAACTGCAAGACCTCCGTGAATTCTTGGTTTATTGCTCTGACTCCAGCTTTTCTTTAACAGCTTGATATATTTTGTTGTGCAATTAGGTGTTGCTGAGTGGTCTTTCTCTTGTCTTTGTTTGACGCTCTATCTCAACTTGTACTTTGGTGTCTGTTCCTATGAGATATTAGTGTTTGAAAGATCACCTTTCAAATTGCAAACTAAAAGAATTAGCCCTGTGGAGATGTTAATTTTATTCCTCTGTCTCTCTCTCTCTCACACACACACTTAGATCTGGATTTCTGATTTGTTCGAGCCCTTTGAAAATTATCTAAGTCAGGTGCCTGTGGTTTATGTAAAGCCTTGTTATGATGTGTGCTTGGGACTGAAATCTCCCCCTGGAACACATAACAACATTTCACTGAGTCACATAATGAGGATACGAGAAGCAATGTGTTTTTTTGTTATTCTGCATTATTAATGATGAGGAAAATATTTCGTCTTTTGTGATGTTATTCGTCCTACAAAACAGAAATGGTGAACATGCCAATATTTTTGTCGGATAGACTTTGTCCTGCGTGAATATATGAAGCATTTTCCTACCCTTGCCTGTTCAGATGGTGGTTCTCAGTTTTTTAAACTGGTTATTACTGAATTCGTGGCTGTAAAATCTCCCAGTGAGACACTGATCACTATGATGGGGATGAAGTCATCGTGGAAAAGCATGTACAATCGGCACGGATGAATTTATCAGGTTTGGTGCAGTGCGAGAAATTCTGTGTTTTCCTTTCACTTGAGTCTAACCTCGCATCAACAGCGCGGCTGCCTGCTGTTCAGGACTCCTCTTTTCTTAATGCAGTATCAAGTGGCAAAAGACAGATAGAGAGCGGAGGATAGACAATTACTGAGGCTAAATCGAACTCTGAGCTTAGAGGAGGAGATAGACAAAGAGCAGATATAGACCACCAGTGAAAGAGAGACAGACAGGTGAGTATAGCAACCACTGTATGGCTGTGTTTGCACCGCTGCTCCTCTGATCTAAATTTCATGAGACTATTAAAAACGGGGAGGGATGGGGAAATTGCGCTCGCTCCCTTCTACCGCTCTCCTGCTACACGCCTCCAACCGCTCTCCTCCTCGCTGTCAAATAACGATGGGGAGCGAGAGCGAGAGTGGCGGCCATGCTTGTCTCTCCAGCACAATGGGCTTGTGGGTTTGAGGGCTGAAATGAATAGCTGATGTCTGTAATGAGTTGGCGTATCCGCCATAAGCTCCATTTGTAAGGCAGTAGCCGTACTGTATACTTAACAGGAGATTGGTTGTGTTAAAGGAGAGAGATATGGGTTTTCTCGAAATGGGCCCTCATCGTTTTATTTTTATTTTCAGAGCTTATTTTTTTGAGCGAGAAGCATTTTCTGACGCCCATGTGCTCTGCTGCCTGAAAGGATCATGCCGCCATTGATGGCTGTGGCAGTGGCAGTGGGTTGGTGTCGACAGAGATTGTATACATGATTCAGGTTCATGGGGTTGGGGGCAGGGGGGTTGAGGGGATGCTCTCTTTTGGTTGTCATAGCAACCCAGTCATTTCTTTCCCCACAGCTACATCTCCTATCACTTTAATTCATGCATTCATTTCTTTTATTTATTTCCCGTAGAAAACCGGTGCAGGGATGCGAGCAGGGCTCCGGTTCAGTATCCATTTTGATTGTATTAGATGTGTAAAAAAACAATCCATTCATATACTTTCAGTAATAAGGACGGGATCCCAGTCATAGGTGTTTATCTTCATCCGTCACAGGCTAAATCAGTAGAAACAGTTCACCTTGTACAGTTATATTTAATCAGTAGCTGAACATTTGCCCATTTGAGAGCAGACAACAGATGTTGTTGCTGTGGGCTCCCTAAGCAACATCCTTAAACACCACTGGTGTGTTTAAAGGCATGTGGATTTATTGAAGTGCGGCGTGTGTGTATAGAAATGTGCTCTGTTAAGTGCAGGATCAACCCACGGTTGTTTTTTTTCTCATCGCGCTCGACGTTGTCTCCGTCTAACGTGTTCTTTGTTTGTCCTTGACAAGCACCCTCGTGTAGTTGTCCGAGGGCGCTCCCTGGCGCAGCGGTCCTCGTTTCATCGGGTGGGATGAGTAAATTTGGGGAGAAAAGAAATTGAGAAGGAATATCTGTGTCATTGTTCGAACACACCATCTCTGGGCCTGGTAAAATAAGATGCAGTCGTTTCCGTAACAACTAGTTGACAGAAGGAAAATCTTAAATTGAATTTATTGCTGAAGTGACATTTTCAAAACACGTCTGGACTAAAATGTTTTTATTTTCCTTTTTATATTTTCACAAATTGAATACCTTTGGGGTTTATAGTTATTACTAAATTTGCAATTAACAAATAATCAGTAAATTAATTAATAATGTAAATAATTTCTACTACTTAGCACAATATTCAAGTATTGCTTTTGCATCTTTGTTTATATATATATTTCTTTGGCTTTTTAGATGGAAGATGGCCAGACACTGTTTGATTACAACGTTGGCCTCAACGACATCGTCCAGTTGCTGATTCGCTCTCAGACCGACCCTCCGGACAGCCCTGCCGCCAAGGACTTCTCAGGCGTCGCCTGCAGCTCAGCTCCCCCACCTGACTCCCAGTCTGAAAGCCATAACTCCCCAGTTCCCGTTTCCCCTGCCGATATGGAAACCAACACCAACATAGACAATGACGGCAGCAGCAGCATCACTACCAGCACCATTAAGGAAACCAAGCCTGACACCAGCGTCACCAGTAACTCAACCAGTAGTACCAAAAATGGCTTCAAGTCCTCCAGTCCAGTACGGGACACCCAGCCCCCTACATCCAGCAAAAACGCACTAGTTGACCCGGGAATCGGCGTGTACAAGGTGAGGACGGCAGCGTAAATATTCAGAACTATTTTTAAGATTGTGCATGAAACTGGCCGATCAGGTTCTTTGCTAAATTACAGAGAATTTCATGACCTACGAGCGAAGTGACAGAGATTCTTGGTCAGGGCTTCACGTCTGAATGTCAAATTAAAATACAAACCAAGCAGATCACATGCCTCAGTGATGTTAAAAAAGTGAAACGACCTTGTAAATGTGAAGATGATTTGATTGTTTAATCTTTAGTAGTATGAGGAATGTCTATGCATTTGCCCCTCTAGAGTATTCTACACCAGACATATAGAGAAAGCACAGAAAGGAGTAAGATTTTTTCTTTTCCAATCAGCAGCATTCTTCCATTTTTCCCCTTTTCGATTGTGGAGCACCCCAAACTATTTAGATATGGTGTTCTAGCCAAAACAACTGGCACCTGCTTGCATTGATGTGTGTCCTTGTGTGAAAGTGCATGTGTCATGTGCCAAACGTACCTTTTTATTTACTCTATTTAATATCTCTGTCTATCCGGTAAAATAATTGCCTCATTTTTCCAGGAAGTCACATGCCAAACCACACATGGGAAACAGGTCTTTAAATTTCTGTCAGGAACCAACATATATATTATAAATAGTGTACAGCCAAAGCTAATAAATGTGAGAGTCTATTCTTCTCCGCTCAGCTGATGTTTACTGATCTTTGCTGGCTGGCTGACCCACATGTCTGAGAATTATTGTGTAGGACCGGGCTCTGCTTGTTGCCAAATGTCCAAATCCAGCATACAGCAAGATCAATACTGTAAGTGTAAGTAGATGAGCTGGAAATTGTGCAACTTCAGTGGATATCAAGGTCACATGCCTTGATAGGCTTTCAGCATTTACTCAGTATTCACAACCAGATAGGACCAGTGCCGCGGATGACGTTCGTCTCAAAAATAAATCTCACAGATTTGATGAACATAAATGAACGTCATGAAACACTCATAAAGAGAATCGAGAATGTTTTATTTATTTCAAATTGTATTTTAATTTGTTTTCATTCCAGGATTTTTATGGTAATAATTCATATATGTCATCAAACAAATCTATTATAAGATTTTCACTCTTAACTGACAACCTGTCTGCCAATATTCTGTCTATGTGATACTTCCATTGAAATGATGTGATGTGTAAATTGACAGAGACGCTGGTGTGTTTCTTTAAACAACAGCCAGATGGGTGCGGAAGAGCCCAGGTGTTATTTCTGTCTTTGTGTCTCCTCAGATTAACGAGCTGGTGGATTGCAGAGACGTCAGCATCGGTGCCTGGTTTGAGGCCTGCATCGAAAATGTGACAGAGGCTCCCAAAGGACAGATAACGCCCACCAAGGGCAAGGTGGGCCGGCCCCCAAAAAGGACTAACGGAAAGCTGGAGGCCGAGCAGGGACAGGCCCACAGCCAGGACCAAAACATAGACCGTAACAGGAATAATGTTGTGTTCACCTCGGAGAGCAATGGAGCCTCCACCTCTCAGACAGACTCTACAGCTGCTACGGAGAGCAAGGAGAGAGAAGAGGACATCCTTTATCACATTAAATATGATGAGTAAGTGATGGCTCAATATGCTGCGGTATGTTGCTGCTGCAACCGAACTGACTTCGGTTGCAGTGACGAGAAACTATTTTTAATGGGTTTCAATGAAAGTGCACAGGGGAGAGAGCTGCAGTGTCAGAGTGGCAGCTTTTTGGTCTGATCAACCAAAATCACCCTAATTGCTGTTTAGGATTTGAATTCACGGTGCTGCGCCTCAAATAGGAGAGTGTGAATGTGCATGTTCCTCACTGCGTATGCACAACTAAAAATAATTTTGGTTCTCAAACTCAAGCTGCAGTTTTGTGGCATTCTCGGTAAAAATGTGCACCAAACATTATACGTGCAGCATGCGTGTGTGTGGTTGTGTATATGTTACTAGTGACTGCAAGCATCAGTATGAGTGGTTTGGTGCATTGGGAATTGCAGCCTCTGCTGTCTCCTGGCAGTCCTAGGGAATGGAGAGAGGGGGTTTGTGTAGTCGATGCTACAATTTGGACTCTATCTCTCGCGCTCCCGATTTTCCAGCAAATTCATTCAGAAGCCGACGTTTCCATGGCAACTCATGAGTTCTCAGGAGCATTACTTCTTTGCTTGCCTCCTTCAGCTTTGTCTGTAATTGCTGTGAACATGCCACTGGTGAGACATACTCTCCTCGCTGCGCCTGTCGTGATGCGAGCGTGTGTGTTATTCTGTCATGGGATGTTGTGCTAGAGTAATGGTATCATGGGTTGTTGAGCATTAAATCTGCGTTTTTTTTTTCATGCAGACGTCATTCCCACTGGATAGTACTCAATCTGTCATATCTTCTGCTTTTTATTAGTTGTTTCATCATTTGCAACAGCACAGGAGGGATCCTGCAGGGACAGTCCAATAATAAACACCATGTGTGGCCCCCTTCTTATTTAAATTTAACGGTTTTAAATATTTAACTTCTTGCTTGTTTGTTTTTCACCCATGTTCCTCTGCTTTATTTGACAGTCAAGAGGGAGATGGAAATGACAAGGTCCCCTGATAGTTTGAAACCCAGGACATCACAGTAATATGTGATGTGTGTCTTCACCATCTGAGCCACAAAATAGCCTTAGCTACAAACTACAAAGATTTTCTGTTGAATGACTGCTTGCTTAACTTGGCCTCCAAAGAACACACTGTTTTCTTCTCTGTCCTGTGCGTCATTCCAAGAGAGGAGGGTGGGTAACATTGCTTCGCCTTCACACATGCCCCTGTGCTTTAAGCCATCATGGACATTTGTGCAGAAAGAAATGAGCCACAAAATCTAAGAGAGCGATATTTTGGGACAATCTTTTCTGTGCTTCTCTCAGGAACTGACATTGTGTGTATGTGTGTTATGTGGGTGTAATGTGTGTGCGTTGCTCAACAAGACACCCAGATATAGTTTCATGGTTAAATCCTGGCTATGGCAACTATAGTTTTTGTTTATTTGTTTATTATTTTTCAACCATGATATGTAGATATTTAAACCAAAGAGGGGCCTTGACTGGCTCGGTCAAATTATAACAAACACATTTGCAGTGGAAGAGATCTCACCAGGATATAAAGCTGCGGCAGTCGGCCATTATCTGAGCACGGCTGCTACCTGTGTGCTGTGAGAGTTTTAATTTACCAATTAAGTGAAGTAAAGTGGCTTCAGTTTAGCTTCTCTCTCTCCTGCCCACACATAACAGTCATCATATATATAATTATATGTGTTCCTACATTACATAATACTATGTACTTCATTTGGTTGATGCCTTAAAGTTAGTAAAAATGGCTTTTTGAGGATTTTCAGTGGGAGAGAAATCTCTGCCTCCACATCAGAGAAACATACTTCTGTCAAATCCCCAAATTGGCCCTTTAAAACCTCATTCTTGTGACAAAACTTTAAACGTCTCATTGTGAGATTAAAGTTGTTGCAAAACATTTTTTTTTAGATCAAGCTTTTCATTTTGGCCTCAATTACGCACAAAGCCCGGGATAAGAGGGGTCGTAGTCACTTTCCTTTACCACTGAGAAGCAATTATATTCTGATAGCTTGTTTAGTGTCAGAGTATTTCTACCTCATGCTGCTTATCAGTAAATTGAGGATTTCTCATTTACGTCCATTCCCTTTTCTCCTTCTTTACTGTGACTTCAGTGAAGCACACACAGCACTAATGATGGCTCCAGAACAGACGGGCCCTGCTGTCGATAAGTCATATCAATTTCACAACTGATAAAATAAGTTTCTGAAATTCATTTAGATAGACTTTGCTTTTACAGGAGTTTTGACATCATTTTGGTTTCTTGTTTGCCTGAAAGTCTTTTTCCCGTATTCCCACAACTTCAGGGAGAGTTACATTTACTTTGTAATGTGAGAGGTTGGGTCCGGCCACTGTGACGAGTCTGTGTGGAGATTCAGTTCTGATGCGGCAAACGTTAGAATTCAGATGCCCAGGCTTTGCTGAGGGTTCATTTATTTTGGTGCATGTGAGATCTGCACAAACGAGACAGTTACAGGCTTGTGTGGCCTTAAACTCTTCTTCTTCCACTGTTCCCCTCGTGTTGCTCTCCGTGTTCCCCTTCTTGTTCATGCTGAGTCCCATTGTGCTCCCAGGTTGATGTTCCTCTGCTGTGTGTGTGTGTGTGTGTGTCTGTGTGTGTTTAGTTGCTTGTAATAACCCCCCCATCCCAAACCCCCCTCCAAATAAAAACCGCAGTAATCCCTTGGGCCTAAAAAAGGAAATCCCTGCACTGTGCCCCAGCCTCTTCTTCTTGACTGTAACAACTCTTACAGTCTGCCTCCGCAGGCCCTCTCTCCAGCCAGTTTACAATAGCTTAAAATATGCACCATGGCCCAGTCAGTAACTAGGCAGAGCTTAAGTGCACACGTTCTGACTGGAAAACAAAGTTAAAATGTCGGGTAGTGTCGTTAACATCAGTCATTTTTAGCTTGAGCTCAGCAGGCAGTCTGCTGGTTCTGCGTCAGTGCAGGCTTTTGGAGAAATTACCCAGTTTAGGCTCAGCTTTCCCCCAGAAAATGCAAACACGTGGTGCTCGCTCAAGCACACAATCCTCCACTTCCCCCTCCACTTCCCAATGTGCATGAAGACTTGAGTATGCAGCCCTGTTGTGCAGTTAGACTTCAGCGGCAACACATTTCTCATCTGTAAGCATAATTCCAGCTATTGGCAGGCGAGCGAGAGAGCGAGCGAGCTGTCCGTTCATCTCTGAGTCAGGCCAGATCCTTACAGCTTAATTATGATTGGCAGACAGGAAACCTGCACAGTTAACCTCACTTCATCAACTCCAACGTAGACATTTAAAACTTGTTCAGCTCTTCTTTGGGTAAAACGAGGAACATTTTAAATTGTGTTAATTGTGCCACTGATTTTTCTTATGCACATCCAGCATTCAAAAAAAACAAAGACCCTTTTCACCAACAGAAAACAATCAAGTGTGTGTTTCTTGTTGAGTCTTTGATAAATTGTTAAAGGAATAGTTTGATATTTGTGGAAATGTGTTTCACCTGCCTGCCAAGAGTTAGATGAGAAGAAAAAGGCCTCTCTCATGTCTGCTTGGCAAAACAGGGGAAATTACTGGATTTGCTTTGTCAAATCAACCTCACCCTTAATCTTTCCCTTTTGTTTAATCTGTCCAAAAACCCAAGTGTGAAAATGACACATCATGCAGTTTTACGGGGGGTGGGGTCATGTGTTGGACTATTTATTGGCTGGGGGAAGTAACTTCCTGGAGTCTCTGCTAGTTGCCTGGCAACCTCAGGTGACGTCAAAGACGACAAGACCAGCATTGTTGTTAGAAGGTGAACAGGCATAGTTCCCAAAAATGTTGAACCATTCCTTAAAGACATTGCAGTTAATTTCAATGGGGTCAAAGGTTTAAATCACACCAGTTAGATCTCAAATCTTCTGTCTTGCTTCCTTAAAACAAATGTTGGTCCTGTACAAATATGTTCTGTGGCGTGCAGTGGACTGACTCATGTCTGTACACACAGGAGTCCAAGTTTCACTAAACTAAGACCAGTGTTTTGCCAGTGGCAGTAAGGTCGCTGTATTAAATTTAAATTTGGATGGCGGCCATAGTAGTGAAAATCCATCTTAATCCTTGGCTTTAAAAACCTGAGTCAGAAAGCTGTGTGCAAATGTCTCATATTAGGTACAAGCGAGTCTTTGAAAATCTACAGGACTTGACTGATGCTTTTGTTTTATAGAAGGAAAAAATATAAGTTATTTATGTGAAATCATTTTCAGCTTTCTGTGTCAGAGAGAAAAGAAGTTTTATTGTATTTGTGGAATTTGCCCTGAAGGCCTAACGTCTAAAACTGGTCCATGTTTAAATGTTGGGTGGTGAAATCTGTTTTTTTTTTAAGTAGATCTGTGCTTAAACATTTATTATAATGTTGTGCTTTACCTTGATGATAATCATATTTGATTTGATAGAAGGATGCACAATCATCTGATTTTCATTTTTGTACCCTTTGTGCATGCTATGATTGACGTGCATGTTCCTGCACAGGGAGGTCTACATCTTTATTGCATTCTGTGCCTTTATGCATGAAGCTGTTAAATAGATTATGTTACATACATCTCTTTTTACTGAAAACATTGTTGTAATAGCTGCTTTTTACTGGCCAGAGTATTATAATCTTTTCCTGAGGATATGGACATTGTTTAGGATACAACTGATCAATTTCTCAGAGGCAGCTCGACCACCTCATGGCTTATGAAGCTAATTTATACAGATATAAGCTTCCAAAGAACAAGTGGGGTGAGAAGTGTGGCTGTTCTGAGATGTAAATTTATTTTGTGAAGAATTAAAAAAAACATCTGTTTGTGTTTTCACAGTGAATAAGAAAGCAGAGTGAAAACCAGAGTGATGACAGCGATCCTAAATATTTCACGCATCTAAACCTGCCCCCCCCCACTTTCCTTTTCTTTCTTCCGCAGCTACCCGGAGAATGGCGTGGTGGAGATGCGACTGCTGGACGTGCGGCCACGCGCCAGGACCCTGCTGCGGTGGGACCAGCTTCAGGTGGGCATGCATGTGATGGTCAACTACAATATGGAGACGCCAGATGAGAGGGGCTTCTGGTTCGACGCCGAGATTCAAACGCTCAACCAGGCCTCTCGCACCAACAAGGAGCTCCGAGTCAAGATCCTCCTCGGGTGAGGATCTTCCTCCTCGGTGGGAGGGTGGCGTCAGGCAGAAGGGGCGAGCCGATAACTATTTAATTTTCATATCTCTTGGCCAATTTATGTTTTGTTGCTTACCAAGATGTGTGACTCCTTTACATCTGTCACACTCAGTAACACATCTTTACATCTTCCTCTTTGGTTTTCTGTTCTCGTGCTCTCATCTCTCTCTCTCCCTCTCTCTCTCTCTCTCTTTGTCTCTGTCTTTGTCTCTCCGTGTCTCTCGCCCTCTGTCCAGTGGTCCTGGAGATGTGATTGGGGATTGTAAGGTTCAGTTTCTGGATGAAATCTACCAGGTGGAGAAACCAGGAGCTTGCGCACTCTCAGCCGCAGATGGACAATTTAAACGTACGCACAGATGCAGTGACAAAAACTTCATCGCCCTATTGTTCACATTGTATACGTGCGTATGAATATTTAACTCCTTCTTCTTGGCTGCAGGAAAGAGCGGACCAGAGTGCAAGCACTGCAAGGCCGACCCCGAGGCCGAGTGTCGCTTCTGCTCCTGCTGCGTGTGCGGCGGCAAGCAGGACGCTCACATGCAGCTCTTGTGCGACGAGTGCAACATGGCGTTTCACATCTACTGCCTCAACCCGCCGCTGGCCACCATCCCAGATGACGAGGACTGGTGAGTGTAACTGAGCAATTAGCCTCGAGATGCAGTGATACACGGCAAATTTAATAAGGTTTATTAATGGTGTTGGGTATGAGCTGAAGTGCATTTCAGCTGTAATTAAACAGTGATTGAGGTTAAAGTCAATATAAAATAATGACATAATGCAGTCGCAGCTGTGAGTTTATCTAATGCAAAGGCTTTGAGAGTGTCTCTCTGCCAAATGGAATGAGGGTGTGAATAAATGTTTTTTCAGGCAGTTACTGCAGGAAGAACCTTCCAGCATCATTTACATAGCTTAAACAAACAACTGATAGCAACACTGATAACTTTTATTTCTACTTTCCAGGATCTATTCAAGTTAAATGTTTAAAAATCAAGTCCACACATGCTTTAAAGCAAAGGATAGTCTGAACAGAAACTATGTTTGGTGACAGACAATTTACATAAAGTACCTTTTAATGTTGTAATTACCAAATCTCATTGTCTTCTAGCTAATTTGGGGAAGCATTTCTCTGCTTTTACCTTGACTAAGCTCACTGTGTTTGATTTGATCTCACTTTATTCTCAGAAAGAAAACTAAGTGAACAAATACTTAAAAAGTATGTCAGAGAAATAATTGTTGCAACCAGTTGTATAGCTCACATCCATATTTACTCTACACGGGTTTTTGATATGTTCGGTCAAATATTCATCCAAGAATTTGAGGTATCAAAAGAAATGATCTTGTTTTTACTGAATACAATCACACAGATCTGTAACTGCTGGATTACAGATATTCAGACAGCTCTCCACCTTATCATTCACATACATGCCTTCCTGTAGCCACAGCAATGATTTCCTCTTTCTGTCAGGTACTGTCCCACCTGTAAGAATGACACCAGTGAGGTGGTGAAAGCCGGAGAGAAGCTCAAAGCCAGCAAGAAGAAAGCCAAGATGCCTTCGGCGACGACTGAGAGTCAAAGGGACTGGGGAAAGGTGAGACCCACCAGGTGGACTGACAGCTGCTCTGTAGCACCGAAAGTAAAACAGGAAACCCGAAAGACGGCCTGTGGTTCATCTTGAAACCGACCAGAAGTAGCAAAGTCTACATGGTTGAATATGAAGAAGAAGTTTGTGTCAAACGTTTTTCAGCGATATTAACTTATTCCAGATTTTTTTAAAGCCTGCCAACAGTGAGATGCCAAAATAATACAAAAAATGCCTCTGTCTCTTTTAGTGGGCATGTTAAGGTCTTTGTAGCCAGTTCAGGACAAGAGATGGACAAATAATTTTCAGCTTTATGATAAAAACCAATCTAACACAATCATGTTTCTGAGAATTCTTGATAATAATGTCTGCATTTTTTAAATGTTACATCTGAAAAGGACATTTTCAAATCCACTTGAGACAGAATCAAGACAATGTAGCATAGTGGGAAGTCCAAATAATCAAAAAGTCACTTAGAAGAAGACAAAAGCTGTGTCTCAGTTCAGGGGCTGTGTGCTTTGGGGACTGATTGCGTCGCATAGACACGATGCCTCCTTTGTCAGCTGCATAGACTGTGTAGGTTGCATCCTCTAAATTAGGACAAAGCTGTAGACGTCCTCCTCAGGGTTTATATTCAGGCTTATTCATTTTATACCAATTACTTCTTGCCGCCCTGTTCATTCCTCGTTGTATCTACGTGTAAAAAGTTGTCTGCTCTGTGTTTTGTGTTACGCTTAATCTGAGTTTGTATGTTCCTGAACACAACTCGAAACCATTCAGAAGTTTTTAATCCAATTAACATGCGATTTATCATCAATTTAAATTAAGCCCGGGCTCCTGGAGCTGATTAATGATGTTGGCTTGATTTATAGCATTTGGTTCCTCTTTTTGCTTCTTCACGGTGCTAGAGGGCAACAGCTGGAAAATTACTTTCAGACTTTTTAGTTTTGGTTGGCAAAACGAGAAATTATCTCATTCTAGTTGCTGAGGCAGAAAATAAGAGAGGAAGACAGCTGACATGTATTTAAATTTGTTTTTTATCTTTCACAAGCATCTGTTTTAAGTGTACTTTTTAATACTCTTCCTCCAAAATCTTCTCAGCGAATTCTCGTGGCAACACTTTGAGATATTGTGTGGCTCATTTCCATTCTGTCCTGGCTGCGTCTCTGACGCTCCGCTCCGTGGTGTAATGTGAACAATGCCATTAAGCATGACTTAGCCACTTTCCTGGAACTGCCAACGGAAAATAACTCCTTTCTTTACCAGAATGCTCTTTTCTCTGTGGGCTAATTGAAAACAGCCTGGCTTGTGTGTTTGGGCACCATTTAAGTGCAGTGAGTCACACAGGATTTTTACTTGACTTTTACATCTTCGCAATTTGATAACGTTGAATTGAAATTCTTTTCTCTCTCTTGAAAGTTTTTCTCTTCGCCCTTTTAATGTCGCATGGGCCTCCAAAATAGAAATGAAAGGATCGTTATTTCTAAAAGTAAAACATCCTCAAAGTTTCATCGTATGATTCATTGACATACACGTCATCACCCTCTGCTTAAACACAACAGTACTACAATGTTTTTCGTGCGTAGGACCTTTTATTTATACTTTTGTGTTCTTCCGTCTGGATGTATTTGCAGGGTATGGCTTGTGTGGGTCGTACTAAAGAATGCACAATTGTTCCTTCAAACCACTATGGACCAATACCTGGAGTTCCTGTTGGAACCACCTGGAAATTCAGAGTACAGGTTAGCTACCATGACGGTGTTTTACATATTGATCAGCTCTCCTCTGACTAAAGATAAAATCAATAAATGATGAAGTTGACTTTTTAATTCTATGTTATCTGTACAATCTAAACGCTGTTATCCCTTCAGGTGAGCGAGGCAGGTGTTCACAGGCCACATGTCGGTGGTATCCATGGACGCAGTAACGATGGCTCCTATTCGCTGGTGTTGGCCGGGGGCTTTGAGGATGAAGTGGTGGGTTGTTTGTATTTTGTATTTTAAGATATTTTACAGTCATAGGAAATTAAGAATGAAGGGAAATCTTTTGGTATAATTATCATTTCTGTGGTGTGTCGTAGGACCGGGGAGATGAGTTCACCTACACAGGCAGCGGGGGTCGTGACCTCTCGGGAAACAAACGAATCGGAGAGCACTCATTTGACCAGACCCTGACACACATGAACAGGTATGAGAGTTCCCTCCCAACTACATATGTTTGACCCCATTGATATGGTTCATTACTTTAAAGGTGTATAGAAATGCACCTTTAATTTCTGTCCATTGAGTCAGGCTTAGTTGGTCAAACTTAAAAACCCTTGTATGATGTATTATCTAAAAGGTTTTATTCAAACCAGCATGTCTTAGAGGAACAATTCAAACAGGCCTCATCAAATTCAACTTATAAAGGCAGGGCTCACATATTTTTACATATTTCTGTTTTTGTTTTTCTAAAACAAGCTTAAGGGATTAATTTCCTAGTAGCAATTGATTCATTAACCATCATTAACATCCCTAATCCTTGGACAGACTTAGTAAACACAAAGCTGTTTCTCTTGGATCCTGACTCCTGCAGGGCATTGGCCTTAAACTGCGACGCACCTCTGAATGACAAAGACGGGGCTGAGTCGAGGAACTGGCGGGCGGGAAAGCCGGTGAGGGTTGTGCGCAGCTCCAAAGGTCGACGCATTAGCAAATACGCCCCAGAGGAAGGAAACCGCTATGACGGTATTTACAAGGTACAGACATGTTTTTGCTAGAAGTTAAAACATTTTTTTTTTCAAATTTGATGAACTGTATTTAATGCTTTATTTGCATTTTAGGTGGTAAAGTACTGGCCAGAGATTGGAAAGTGTGGTTACTTGGTGTGGCGGTACTTGCTGAGACGGGATGATCTGGAACCAGCACCGTGGACACCGGAAGGACTAGAGAGGATCAAGAAACTGGGCCTCGCTGTTCAGGTCAGACTGCGAATCTGCCTGCATGTGTTTGTGAACTTCACTGTTTACACAATAGAGATCTCGATATTATAAACTACTCTTTAGATGGTGTTGAAATATCTAAATTCGTAGATAACTCTGCATTGAGGCAGAGACAGAACATAATACATTTTTAGTGATGTCCCGCCGCTGCATAATTATAACCAGGACAGACGCACATTGTCTGAGTGTCCTCCTTCCACTCTACCGCTGACCTGTGTTCTCAAAAATAAACAGCGACTCTAATCAGAAGTTATTAGGGCCTGAACAGTACTGACGTTGACTTTGTGTTTGTTGATTCACTCTAGAGTTTATGAGACTCGAATTTAAACACATGCGCACGTCGTTCATTTGCCAGACACAACACAAGATGCGCGCAGCCAGGACATCAGGGTTAAAGTGACCGGAACAATCCAGATTTATGATCTGATGCCAGGGGGGGGCACCCTGATACAGTGACGGATAAAGATGCACCACACAGGTCTTCACTGAATGAATGTCAAATCAGTGAGGAGAGCTTTGACCGCTGTTATAGACAAACTGTCTGATTTTGTAAATTGCAGCACACTTGTAATATCAGTAACAGTCTGAAATATTCTTGTAAAGGACAAATCATGAGGCTAGTGATGATGCACACCTCTAACAGTCTATAGTCAGTTATTTACATATGCATCTTTAAGATAGAAGTCCACTTGATTTTCATTTCTCCCTTGTGTCTGTAGTACCCGCCGGGCTACTTGGCGGCTATGGCTAACAAAACAAAGAAGGAGGCCTGTGCCAGACCTGGTCGCGGCGGCCGGGGTAAGCACCATCCCGGGAGGGGGAGGCCACGGAGGCAGCGCAAGATCAAGGAGAAAGAGGAGTTTGATGAGGAAGATGAGGACATGGAGCCGATGGCCTGTGTAGAAGAGGAGGCGATGCAAAGTAACGGAGAGGAGATGACAACCAGAGAAACTGGTGGGTGCTTTCACAGTTGAAGCTCAGAGCAGGTCAGACAAGGTGTTTGTGAGAAGAGGACAGGTGAGAACAGCGTGAGGAGCAAAACTTTCTCTAAGATAGTTTGGAAATATTTTATATTTGTTGGCTAAAAACACAATAGGGTTTTATTTTCCCCAGTTGTTTTCTTAGTTTTGACTTTTATTATTCTAGCCTGTTTTTTTCAGTCCTGTCGTGTGTGTTCTGCAGAATCGTCACCAGCAGCAGAGCATCCGTCTAAACGTGTGAAGATAGAGGAGACCTTCCAGCTGTCAGAGCAGCAGCAGCAGTTGATCCGAGAGGACACAGCCAACAAGAAACTCTGGGATGAAGCCATGGAAAACCTCAAAGAGGGGCCGGTATGAATCCCACGACACACTCACACACGTAACACGTCTCCAGCTCGTCAACACTGTGTTCACAAAGCATCGCACACAACAGAGAACAGACTGAGAGAACTCATTGAGCACTACTCATCCATGAAACTGAAATTCATCCCCTTCAGATCTTTACTGCTGGATCACTTTCCTCTTGATCTCTTGATTTCCAGACTCATCAGTCACTTTTTGTTTGACAGAGTTGGATGTAGACATATTTCTGGATGGATGAAACTGAAATTATCAATTTTAATTTATCCGTGACCCTGTTTGATTTTTCTGCCTCTGTCCTTTTACATATGAAGAATTTCCTGCGCAAGATGGAGCAGATCTTCATGTGCGTGTGCTGCCAGGAGCTGGCCTACCAACCCATCACCACCGTCTGCTCACACAATGTTTGCAAGGTGCGTACTGAGTGGATGCAGTGTTTCGCCATTCATTTCCCCATATGCCTTGAGCAGAAGGCCCTTGTTTCCTGTCTCTCCTTCAATGTGTCCAACGAAATAAAGCCAAAAAATGTGAATAAATAAATAATCCCTGATTCCTCCCATCATCCTCTCTCTCCTCAGACTTGTCTCCAGCGGTCGTTTCGAGCGCAGGTGTACACCTGCCCCGCCTGCCGCCACGACCTGGGCAAGGACTACGTCATGACCCAAAACAAGATGCTCCAGATGCTGCTCGACCAGTTCTTTCCCGGCTACAGCAAGGGCCGATGAGGTTGAACTAAAACCCCATTTATACGTAGAATACGTACATAAACGCACATAAGCAGCCGTTCTGTGCACCCGTGTATACCGTCAAGTACCTAGAGCTCCACTTTAAAAAGCATCGCGCACACTTACTGTACTTACCAACGGGCAAATGTATATTGCATATACAACCATTTATTGTATACAATCATTCATACACAAACAACCTCAGTAGGGACTGACCTCATCTGTTGAACTTGGACTGTCTCCATTAACATCACCAGCCTGAAATTCAACCAAGGACATTTTTAAACCTCCCTACTCCTGCCACAAAAACGCACAAACAAAAACAGCCCCAACTCTTGCACCCACTCATCATCTGAATATCTCGGCTCATTTTACAGTTGTCGTCCACTGGTTCCGTTAATGAACCGCACGTTGTTAGAGTGTGTACTTCCAGCAATATCATGGAGTCGGTCATTAGGTTCCTGCCAACCTGTTTGCATTTTGCGTACCACGTTATGGAGCTTCACACCAAAATGAGTGTTGTTCTCAGGTGGGAAATAACATAGTGAGGTTAATAGCGTGATATAATGGTAATATCACAATGTTAAAATGATCATACAATAGAATTTCTATTGTAATTTCTACTCATTTATATATAAGACAAAGCACACAATCTTTTCTGACCTTGGAGCACTTTATTACCATTTTGTAGGTTAATCAGGAGCATTTGTTAGCATCCCGCTAGCTTCTCATGTCACTTGGAATGATGCCACTGCCACGCTCGGAGCTAATAAGATCAGTAAATGTCTCACCACGCTGGGTGAACTTTCAGAGCGTTTTCAGAGAACAGAAATTGGCAGCTGTGTCCGGGTTGTTTTGAGCGTTGGAAGATTTCTGGCTCAGTTAGAACCACGATTTTGTGAAATACTTTATGAATCCAATCAAAAAAGATGTCGACTCTGTCCTTAGATGTGATGTGGAGTGAGAACAAGGCAAACACACCAAAGACATGAGGCTGAGAACAGATCAGACGTATAAGAAATCTGCTTTTAAAAAAGTGATTCCTGAAAAGTAATAACTTCTAAAAAATAAATGCAATATTCAGCATGTTACACAAATTATATTCTTTCTTTAGCGTGTCCCTTTTTCTTTCCACTTCCATGCAGCTGAAATAAAAGGACACATGTCTGGATCTCCACCATAATGAAACCTCTAACACTGTACAAATATTTTATTTATCTATAATGAAGTTCTCACATACTTGTACTCTCACTCTGGGATTCATTTTTTCATTAAGAGGAAATCTACTAAATTGTCCTTGAGCTTTACCTGACTATATCCTGCTACTTCCTCCGTCTACCAGAGAAAGGCTGTAGTGGTGTAATGGACATAAAAGATTTACATTAGATTACAAAAAGATTTAGTTCTCTGAAATGCTCGTTGGGTGTGACGTGCGCTGCTTTGCACATCGATTTCAATCACGCTGTAGTCGTCCCTGGTGTTACCAAGCAACCACAATCAATCCGGACTCCACACAAAGACGTTTAGCATAGATATTAATCTGCCGTTGTTCTTCCTGTTAGAGCTCTGGGTGTTCGGCTTGATCTGATTCTCATCCATTGAGAGAAAAAAATTAATCCAGTGAGTGATTGCACAACCAGGATGATGACAGTTACGTACAGCTGTCTCAGTGATTTCTGTTCCCTTACAAAGAGCTTTTTAATACGATGGATCCGCACCATCAGAGGCTCAGGGCCGCTGCTAAATTGTGCAGTGCCCCAGAGTTTCCTTAAGTTCTTAAACTATTCTATAATCAGGAATTTACTGACTTCAAATTATACTTCTGCAGGTTTTCAACAGCGCTTATGTGAGAGTTCAGTGGTGGATAGGTTTTAATTCATACGTTACTGAATGTTTCAGTAGGTGTTGTGTCTCGTTACACTTGAATACACGTTTAAGTGCAAAGTAAAGTTTAATTTCTGTCTTCCCTATAGTCAGTCAGAACTACTGGATTTACTATAGTTACTCTAGATAAGACATATGATTGAGAGGATGAGTAATGTATAAAGGATGAGCTCCTGTACTGCAGACAGCTGATGCCTTGGATACTTAAGCTGTTCACCTCTAGCTGTAGCTAGAGGTGAATGTTTTATCAATCACAACCTAGAAACTCGTTTGCATCCCCGGGTATCACGTCTAATCTACCATTGTATACAGGATGTGAACTTTCCTCAGATGGAGACGACTAAAAGACACATGAACAATATTTTGCCCCCAAATCCCAGTTTCAGTTCAAATTTTCTAAGTGATTCCAAATGTTCAATTCAAAGTCTGAATTGCAATTGGGATTGATTTATACAATTTATTTGTTAACTTTTTTAATACTAGACTAGAGGGGAAAAAACAACACTACAATTCTGATTGTATTTCATTTTACATCAATGTCAAGAGTTTTATTTCAGCTGCATCTTTCCTATGAATAAACCCCTTGGCTCTGTCTTAAAGCCATGCAAAGCAAACCTAACCAGAAGTCTGTCATTAAGATTATAACTTAGAAGACCACAGGCCAATAGAGAATGTTTCTACCCTGTAGCCGCTAGCTCACACTAAATATTCATTCAAGAATCAACACAGCGATCTTGACTGATAATAAGTTACTAAAATCCTGTTTTTCTTATTACAGACCTTTACTTATCGGTTGTTATCCAGTGGATTCAGCCTGATCGGTGTAAACTGCCCCTCTGTGACTTTGAAATGCACTTATCGTTCTCTTTTAATGACTATGTAAAAATGTTGGATTTGGTTTTACCTTCCTTTTTGGACCTTTCACAGTATTGTGAGACTGTAATGTAGTGATTACTGAGGCTTAGTAACACATGTATTATTCAGTTTGTCAGAGGAAAAAAAAAAGTTTTATCTTAAGCAGCTAACAGAGATTTTCTTTTTTCCCAGTACTGAAGTGGTACTTTAAAATGTCCAGGGTTGGCAGGTCTGATGAGAACTAAAACAAAACCATTCCATGGAGAGCACGCAGCCAGCAGCAGAGCCTCGTCGCTGATCTGAGATCTGCACAGAGCTATAATATTCAAAATATTTTCCAAGTGTGAATTATTTTTGTTAGAAAGCGTCGCCCTCGTTCACTGACACCATCACGTTCACCTGTAACAGCCTTCAAGGTAAAGCCATGTTTTCTGCCGAGCTGAGACGACGCGTCGAAGCTGTCTGTTAATGGTGACGTCCTCGTTTCTGTTCAATCATTCAGGATCTTTTTTTGTTTTCAACATGCAAGTACAATATGCTATATGGTCTTTAAAGCTAACTGTGATGTGCATTTCTTCCACTGTTGCTTAATCTTGTTCAAAGATTATTTTCTTCCTGGAAAAGCGAATATCCCTCCTTTCTTTCTCCGCTGTGACCTTCGCTCCCTCGCCTCTCTCCCCCGCTGTCTCCTGCTCTCCGTGAACCTACAGTACTAACGATTTTTAGACGTCTTGTGGACGCTTGGCTTCAGTGCTGTGTTGTTCCTTTTTTTCATTTTCTATTGCACTCTGTTGAAGAAAACTCATTTTCTTAGAATGCTTACTATTATCTATGTCTGTGCGCCATTTTTCTACCATTTTAGTTGCTTCTCTATTTCTTATTTTAATCATTAGACATTTTGTATGTGGCAACCTCGAGCATTGCAGCATATGCCGGTCTGAGGAGTTCCATTGCTTCATATTGTGATCTGAAATTTTATACATGTCATAATAATACTTGATATGTACCTATTAAATATTTGGATTCCAGTAAAAGAAACATGCTTCTCTTCTTTTTGTCCTGTATTTACATTTTACAGAATTCATTGAACAATATTGGCTTGTCTTAAAGGGATAGTTCACTGAAAAATTTAAATTCACTGATAATCTACTCACCACTATGCCTGTGGAAAAAAAACATGCCTCCATACTGCTGGTGTGGTCTCATCCAAGTGACTCAAAACTAGGTCATTTACAATTACAATATACAGAATACATTCAGAAATCATCATGGGGCTCTTTCCAGACTGGATTATCCACTGCTGGTGGGTCATATTCTGTTGTGGTAGCTATGATTGTGCCTAGAGATGGTGAAACTCACATCTCTCATGTTAGTTTGTCAATAAATTGTTGGTGCTCGGCTCTGAAGACTGAAAACATGTTTATAGCAGTATTATGACATCATTAACTTGAAGGACTGGTCTTATTTGAAGGTCTAGCTCATACACACACATCCCAACCGTTACTGTTCCTAAATGCTCTTCAGTAGGGCAATATAATAAATAAGATTAGAAATATAACATGTAAGTTATTGAGTCTTTCTATAAGTATTTGTATGGTTACTCTATTTGTATAGCACATTTCAACAAGGCAATTCAGAAAGCATTGCAAAAATAGAAAAGGCATCAGTTCACTTTTTATTATTACTTAAAAAATGTACATTAGTCTTCTGAATAGGAAACATTTGTTTGCATAACTGTACACTGCAGTCACTACTTTAATGTGCAATGGTCCTGTGAAGCCTCCTGCTGGTATAAGTGTGCACTACAGGCTCTGGATGTCAGCCCAGCTGCTCTTTTGTAACTGACCTGATTTTCTTTACCAAACTCCAGAGATTACATTTTGGTGGATACAAATCCCATTGACATTATTACAAAGTGCTTTTCATGATGGAGTGTAGAGCTCCATATGCAGCAGCACCTCACACTCCAGGATATTTAGTTTAGTTTAAACGTGTTATTTGTCTTCTGAAATGAGTCAACTCACAAGACAACTTTTGTTTTTGTTTGTTTTATTATCACAGACGCACAACAGGTACCACTATGCAGGTGAAAAATGAACTCCTTATTATCATGAAAAACAAAAAGTTGAAAAGGAATGCTAATCAAAAAATGACAAAAACAAAAAAAAAAATCCATTCACAGCAACATTTTTCCACCTCCAAAACAAAACACTACAATATTGTCAGATATACATGGCAGAAAGAAGCAAAAGCACTTTGGATTATTCACTTTCCTTTCGCTTTGTACAAACACACATCATAGGATCTCGAAACCAACACGTGCAACAGTATTCATCTCTCCTCTCCACCTCTAGGCTAAATGGATTCAGTATTCCGCTATGAAGTACCAATTATTGGGGCTGTCGCTCAAGCGTAAAGTTTTAAAAATACTAATACTTAAAAAGGGTATCAGTGCTACAAAACAAAACTGGTCCCGCTGAATGTACGTTTAAGTATTTGGACAAAAATTTGAAGTCATCTTTTAGCCAATCCAAAAGAAAACAAAGCTGGAGTACCAGAGTGTAAACCTGATGACCTTTTGTTGTACATTCAAGAAATTAAGATTTCTCCTCCTTAATCTATCATAAAAGGAAATAAACAAAACAAAGACTGGACAAAAAATGGAAATAAGACAACGAGCTATGACAACTGCAATGTGATCAAAGTCCAAAAAAAACAGTTTCCCTCGTATTTAGGTGACAACACCAATCAATCTTGAATGAAAACAGTGTATTAAAATACACAAAGATAGATGATGGGAACAGGAGAGGCACAGCTTACATATTCCCTTGAATAAAAAACATGGGGGGGGGGGGGTTGAATACTTCATGCATTCAGAGAGCTAAAGCTGAGGGGTTAACACAGACGCTGGGTGCAGATGGATAAACTGGGACAGGGTAGGCAAACATATAGTGGGGAGGGGAATATTGGGTAGTGAGGATGGGGTGGAGGGGCTGTCCAGAGGGCTACTCTTCGTCCGAAGAGTCCCGGTCAAAATTGTAGGCCATGAAGAAAACGTCGGGTCGAGGTGGGACGAGGGCATGGCCCGGTTTCACAATCTCAAAGCCCAGGAAACTGAAGGTACGCACCAGTTTAGCTGGAAGAAAAATGTCAAGAACGACAGATGTTTAAATGCAGCACAAAAACAAAGCAACACGAGTGGATGAAAAAGGTGCACTGGGAAAAAAGGACTGATCTGCACATACCACGATCATCTCTGTTCTTGTAAAAGCAGACAAACACACTGACGACTTTCAGGTGTTCTTCGGCATACTCCAGGAGAGCTGCGAAACTGTAGGGACAACCGGAGGCAGGTAAGAAAACGGTGAAAACACAATGACAAACCTGCACCTCTTTAATCAAACTATAAAAATCAGATAGACAGGAAATTGAGGCACAGGGGTCTCCAGACAGGCCAGGTCCAATACCTTTATTTCATCTATTACAAATATTTATTTGTATGTTTTATTCCTCCTTTTTACTCTCCTGTAACATGACTCAAGTGCTCCACTGTGAAAATCTAATGTACTCCATTTCTTTTCATGCCCTCACCTCTCCTTGCTGCCTTCAGGGAGAGAGTCAAGAGGTATCTCCACGTAGAGAGAGCTGTTGCTTAGGACAGCATCCCACTGTATCGTCTTGGTAACAGTGAGATGCGATTGAAAGTGGAGTATCCCAGGGCGACCGTTCCCTGCTGGCTCCTCCGTTACCGTCAACTTTTGGTCCTGGAAAATAAAATGCAAACAATGCATCTTAAAACCAGTAGTGCGTGACGGTCCATGAATGTGTCATGTGGACCATGTTTATCTTTCTGGTTTTCCATTACAAATCAAATAGAGGTGGAGTACGTTTGAAAAATGGACGGTGTTTCACTTGTCTGAAACAAGTTACACCCTGGTGTTCCCTTCCAAGCTGTATAAACAAATACATCATATGACAGGAAATGGCTGTGGTGAAATGCTTTTCTTCCTCTGAACATGACACCTCGTTTCTGCATCATAGCTTCTCTGTCTGCATGTAAGTGGTAAGTGCGTGTGTGTTTGTACATTTACCGAGTAGATCGGCCGAGCTGAAGGAGTGTGATCCCGTGTGCCATTCCCTCGCCCACCTGGGATCTTCAGGGGTGGGAGAGGGGCATCAGGAGCACCACTGAGGCCCTGGGCCGCGGGTACTACTACAGTGCAGGGACAAACTGAAGAGAGAGAGATGACACAATCGATGAATCATGAATCAATGAATATTCATGGTTATATAATATTTAACTACAATCTCAGAGTTATATCATGCGAGTTGTTAATGTGTGGCAAAAGAGATGGATTAAAAAGATTATGTTTGAGACCTTGCTGAAGTCATGTCATATTCCTACTGATAAATAATGAAGTGCTCTTGCATCACACTGTGCATGTACGGAGCAGGATCTGACAGCTGTTAGTGTGATAACACCTCTTCAGATTAGATGTGTACAGATCAAAGCCACTTGCGGCTCAACACTATAAAGGACACACCGCTTTGTGTGAGAGCAACGCACTTCCAACATTACATAACATCTAACTTTACATGACACTGACAACGACGAACATATTTCCCTCTTCTGATAATTAACATGGAATTAATACGTGTGAATGTGGGTGAATTTACAGATCACCGTTGCGCAATATTCAGGTTGACTCAGTTGAGGCGACCTACGTGGTCAGAAACATGTGCTCACCTGGGAGTTACAGTCCGTTCCATTCTCAGCAGATGTGTAATGTCCTCGCATTATTTAGGGTATTATGTTTTTACCTTCTCTATTCTGTGGAACCTCCGTTAACCGAGTGTTCGCCTAAGAAAAGTTACAAACTCTTGCGAGTCACGTTTAAACCAGTGGACTGACAGCTGCTTCCTGGAGTACGGAAGCCTGTTTTGTTTATTAAATCGACTTTAACACGAGGGGATCTTTCCCCGATGAGTTGTTTTTCAGGTGCCTTGCGTGACGTAACGAATTCGACGACGTCCCTAGCTAACAGAGGCTAATTTAACGCTCGTCATGTCGCCTCTCTGGGCTAATAAATCAACTTTCCACGTGACAGTTTGTGAAATAACTTCGCACACGCTGTTGCCTCTAAACACAAAAGCAGAGGCGCCGGTGATTCCGTGTCGTGGTAACAAATTGTACCTTTAAACCTGATCTACTTCCGCTTTTCCGTGGCTGCTAGCCGTGCTAGCTTAGCCACCCCTCCCCCACCCCTCGGTTAGCCATTAGCTAGCCGAGGCGTTTCTCCATCGTTCACTTACTTCCCGATCATGTCACAGATGCCGCTACTCAAATTCGCCATCGTGGTGGGAGGCTGCTGTTTTCCTTCTTTCTCGCGAGCAAAGCAATGACTGTTTAGGATCCGCTGGAGGTTGGATTTTACCATCCGGCCTCGGGTAGAGACACGACGGGTTGACTGCTCTCTGCAATGCTCGGCTGGAAGTGATCGCACCGACGGCTGCGGGAGGAGGAAGCTCACCCATGATGCCGCCGATACACACTTCCTGTGGTGGCTTCAAAGTAACCTCTATTTCTATTGAGAATACTAATAACTACTTACATCTAGAATTCCTGTCTCTGCATCAATACCACACAGGTGCACATGCAACTTTCATGTTCTATCTATCTATCTATCTATCTATCTATCTATCTATCTATCTATCTATCTATCTATCTATCTATCTATCTATCTATATGTCACCATTGAATTAGAGGGAAACGCTATTTCAATTCTCTGTATGTCCTGCACATATGGCATTATTGATAATAAAGTTGACTCGACTTGACTTGGCTACAGATCATATTGAATATCATTCAATAACTACAATCATTCTTTTTTACAACTTTTAAAATATACACCAATCATTACTTTTTAATTGTATCTCCGACGATTGAACCAAACCCTCATATTCTTTTATTTGTTTGCATGATGTTAGTGTAGTACAGTAATAATGCACGCATCTACAGTTCCCTTATATCCATATACTTATATATATTTTTTCTTTTTAGTTTTCATCAGTGCATTTACCAACATTAGAAACATTCATATTGAGATTTCTGCACAGCACACCTTGCCCAACATGCATCGTAAGATAATATAAGATAAGGATAGTAATCCTTTATTAGCCCCACAATGGGGACATTTGCAACATTACAGTAGCAACAGTCTAAAATAGGCATCAGTAAGTAACAATAAGTAACATGGGATACTTTGGTTTAAGGATAATAATACTTGAGTGTTAGGATATATAAATAATATAGAAAAATATGGATGGAGTAAAAGCTAATATACAAAGTGTAAAAACAAGTGCAGTGTGAAAATGGATTGCACATGTATTGCACATACAAAATGAATAGAGATTTTCTGATGTCGGTCCCTTCTAATTTCATACGAGCAGCATTTGAAATCAGTCATTTAGTCCCACATAGAAATTAAACTCGACTTTTATTTTGAAAGCGGAAAAAACGTGGTGGCCCCCTACGCCCGAGGTGATCCAACGCGCAGCTTCACGCTCATGCTAACAGGCTAACGCTAAAGAAGCTAAAGCTAAAGCTCCTCAGTGCGGCTGTGTGTTTACAAGGGGGCGTCTCATGGAAAAGTACCAAGGACACAGACAGAGACAACACCGACAACAACACAGACGCTGAAGTGAGAGCGCTTCTTTACGAGGAACCAGCTCCAGCAGCCACCGTCACCAGATGTCATGTTAGATAAATAGAGTGTAAGCGCTGATTGAAATGATCACTTCATCTATATGACAGTAATGTTTATTTCACATATAAAGATCATTAAAGAACTGCATCTTATCACAATATAATGATGTCACAGTATTTATAACAGGTACCAGTCTGCGTGGTGATCATGTCTATGCTGATACTACTGTATTTGTACTCAAGTATTGTACTTGAAGCCATCACCTTTGTGTATAATGTAGTATTTACAGTGTACTATTGCTTTTTAAGTGACACTTTGAATACTTTTACTTGAAATGTATTGTTTTTATTGTAGTATTTCTTCTTTTACTGAAGTAACATATTGAATACTTTTACTTATAATTGAGTATTCACAGTGTAGTATTGCTTCTTTAACAGGATTAACATGTTGAATACTTTTCCCTGTAATCGAGTATTTATAATGTAGTACTGCTTCTTTTACGTGACATGTTGAATACTTTTACTATACTTTTACTACATAATAGAGTATTTACAGCCACCAGAACTACTTTATTTTAAATTAAAAACAGTGAAAAAGTAAAACTTGAAATATAAAACCCGAGATATAAACATATGTCTATGTTAACAGTGAGTTATTTAATGGTACAGGTATCTCAGGTAGTAGACTGTTGGTCCAAACATAATCCATCAGGTTTTTATTGGTGCAGAAAATAAAGTTGAGTGTGAACTAAATTTACTCTTGCTAAAAATAATCGCATGCAGTTCTTTGAGTGTCCACGCGATGGCGACAAGGCAGCAGCACACTGATTTAATTTCCAATCGCCTCCGCTCCATCAGTTTTGTCCCTGAGCGCGACCCGTCCTCCGTCCACAGAAGGACGAGGCAGAATCTGAGAGCGGTCTCCCCGCAGCCGATGCACTGCTGGACTCAAAGATGGAGAGCGACACCACGGTCCGCAGAATAAAGCCTTACGGGACGCAGAGTTACGCGACGCCCGACGACGACGGCTCCTCCCGGCACCGGTGCGGGGACAACGGCTACAGCGGCGACCCGAAGAGGAAGCCCGAAGTGAGCCTGTACCTGCTGCGGGAAGGACTCGCAACTTCCCTGGTGTGTGTGTTCGTGCTGGCGCTGTGGGGACTGGTTCATCTGTCGCTACGGCAGCTCGTCATCGGGAAGCCGAGCGGAGAGTTCAACGCGGTGAGAGCCAGGTGAGCTTGCGTGTCTTGTCCTCTCCTCGCCCCGGCACTTTGTCTGTCGGTTGACGGGCTCGTAGCAACACAGCCCCGGCTAACCTTTCCTCCAGTTTGACCCGCCTAGAAACCAACCACTGCCGGGTCCACCTCCACCTTCAGCTCCGAGGTAAACACCGGGACGCGGTGAGACGGAGGAGCGTGGCCCGGGAGAGAGGAGCCACAGTCGCCTCCGTCTAAAACCCTGCTCCGAGTCTGATAGATAACAATAACGTTATTACATAATTATTATCACATGCTTCTGTGGACTGTGCACCTGATCTCCATTGTTTGTGTTTTCATGAGACAGCCTCTGTGTCCCTGATCCATTGAACATTGAGACAAATCATGAAATAGAAAGAAACTTGGATAAAGTCAAAATCCAAGATGCTTAAAAAGTGTATTTAGTAAAAACTCCTGTCAGTGGAGTTCATTATTAACAATGATACAACTACTACTGAGAATAATTAAACTGTGTTTACACTTACAAGGAGTTTTTACAATAGATGAAAAATAAAGGAGAGGACTTTCTTCTCCATGTTTCTTTTGTTTTCTAGATTTAACTGCTTAAGTTGCAATCGACAGATTGATTTGAAAGGGATCAGTAGCTGCAGCCAGTTTAAAAATGTCTTTCTGCATAATCATTCATAGTTTCTTAAAAGAGCAAGGAAGGTCAAGGTTGCGGGAAACAGACATGGCAATATCACAAGGGTTGTAAAATGTATATTGATTAACGTATTTATTAAAATGGCCTAGTTTCCTGAAATATTGCTTACAACAAAGAAATGTAACCAACGCTTGATATTTTAAAGATCACTGTAACTTGAAAAAAATATATAAATAAAAAGTAATCATAGATGCAACCAAATCTAAAGAAGTTGAATTACATAAATAAAAACAATGTAAACGCAAATCTTCTCCACATTGAACATTTTCATATCGTCGAGCAGAGGCACAGATACAATACGTCTATTAAAGTCTCATATCGGCCGATTCATATGAGCCAGCTGATAAATCAGCCCGGCACTAATACTGACACAGAGGGGTCCACTTTCCCCTGAATACAGCACGAACATGAACCACAAACATGGCAGCCAGCACAACGATAGAAAAGATTATCTACAACATCTGGTTGATTAAAAGAAGCTTTAAAAATCTCAAACCAGACGTCCACTGAGCTGCACAGGGCAGCAGTGCACGTGTGTTTCAGTCCGAGAGGCAGGGATTACAGCACTGACTCTGAAGTCCAGCTCTTGAAAGCACTGGGCAGTGGGATTTGCCATCATTTGGCTGGTAGTTCCATAAATAAGTCATGCATGCTGCATTTCAACTGATTAGGGCTCTGAGCTTTATGGGTCACAATTATGGCTTTCATGAGCTCAAGCAAATCCTCATGTGAATTATAAGCATCGAAAAGCGTCTCGGAGGTTAATGCAGGAATCGAGCGAGAGCTGCAGTTCAGTCGATATCTTAATGTCATGTGGTGCCGCGGGGATGTTTGGGATCAAGAGTAAAAGCCAAGAAGACCAAATATTTCCTGTTGCTAATCGTACCTTGTAAAAGCAGAAATACAACTCAATGACTGAGAAGAGTCAGTTTTGCTCTGAACCTGTCTTTTGATGACTGTGGTCATCTGACTGGAAAGTTCCTCTTTCGTTATTGTTTTTTATTGCTGGATTAACATATCATAAAGGGTGAAATACGCCTTTTACAATTTCTCAGACATATTCTCCTGGTCTGAACAGATTTACTGTTACAGAGTGAGAGCCACAGCATTCGTCCTTGAAAAATCTAATAGTTCTTCTCTTATTAATGGTCTGATAGTTTCAGACCTGGCTGATGGGCGGATAGCAAACATTTCTCCGTATGTGTTCATGGAAGGCTGACTTGTAGGAGCCACCGATCAGACTGACACGACATCTTCTAGCTTTGCTTACTCTCATAAAGCTTAATTAAAACCAACAGTATGTGGAGTAAAGGGCTCACACACACAAATATTTAATAAATTACAACCAGCGCAGTTTTTTATTATCCAACATAAATGAATGCATCTTATCTCCAGTTGTCAGAGCTGTAAAAAGATAAATTATCTGCGTATAAACCATGTGCAGGTTAGTGAAATGCTATTCAAATGGTCTCACATTCAATATGAGTCCAACTTGGATTTATTTCAGCACAAACTGTGTGTGTGTGTGTGTGTGTGTGTGTGTGTGTGTGTGTGTGTGTGTGTGTGTGTTTACTCTAGATGAAGGTTTGAAACGCCATGTTGATTCGCAAAAGGGAATTTGTGGGTTGTGAGCACACATGCTGTTATAAACATACAATGATTAATTGTCTTTGAACAGTAACATCGACCTTGAGCTATCTTCTTCTCTTTCCCTTCCTGCCTCCCCTCACTATCTAGAGTGCACTTGGAGCAGATCACCAGCGTCGGCCCGCGGCCGGTTGGCAGTCAGGAGAATGAAGTCCTGACAGTGGGCTACTTGTTGGAGCAGATTGAGAAAATCAGGGTGGAGACGGCAGCGGGCCCCAATAAGCTCACGGCAGATGTGCAACGTCCAACCGGAACGTTCTCCATCGACTTCCTCGGGGGCTTCACCAGCTTCTACGACCGGGTCACCAACATCGCTGTCAGGCTGGAGCCCAAGGGTGGAGCCAAACATCTCATGCTGGCCAACTGCCACTTTGACACAGTGGCCAACAGTCCAGGTACATTTCAGCCTGGTGCTTGTGTGAGAGCTTTCCTGAAGACAGTGAGAGCGGGGGAAGCGTCTAACACATACAGGAAACCATCATAAAACTGTGTGCCAAATTTAGATTACTAGAAGAAAGAGAGAGAACTTTCAGTGGTCGAAATGTGTGTAAACGCAACAGAGCAATCCTCTGAACTGTGTTTTCGTCTCTGTGCGTGGGTTTGTTTCTTTGTTGGTTGGTTTCTTTGTGAGCAGGATACACAAAAACTACTGAACAGATTTCCTCAAAACACAGAGGAAGGATGGGACGGGACAGAACCCTTTAAAGTTTAGTATGGATCAGGACACACGGGCAGATCCAGGATTTCTTATTTCCTGTTTACATTTTCAAACAATCAGATCCTCACAAATGTTGCAGCTCTTTTCCTGACAGTGTGTAGATGCCGTCAATTGTTTACCAATGTATACACCCTCTGAGTTGTTTTGATGAAGATAGTACCCTCATACATGTCCCTTGTTATTAACTATAGTCATGTAGGCAAGACTGAGTGAAATCAAAACTGCAAGACAATCCAGAAAATTCCGATCCCATAAATTATTACAAAGTGCCACATTGTGCTTTTAACAGGGAGCAGCCCAAAGCAATCATGGAGTCATACCTAAGCTGTAATACAAGTGTTTGTTGAGGATTGACTGTATCTTCTCATAATTTGTCTGCGGGATGTTTTTTGCCGTTTAACCTCACTCTGTAGAACCTGTTCCAGTTCTGCTTCAGTTCTTACACAAACTCTCTCACTCTTTCGTGCACAAACAGCCTCAAGGCCAAAAGCAAATTGATCCAAAAGGTGTGGACTGGGAAGATACACACACATTTCTCATGCCGCCTGCTGCCATTTTAAAGTTCTCGGAATTCCAAACATTCGCTGGTGTAAAAAATAATGGAAAAAAGAAAGAATCAAAGGAGAAGTGCATAGTTTGAATATATGTGCAGGCGAGCACGGTTCTTTGAGTCTACACACTGCACATAGTGTGAAGTCTCACAGAGCTTTTTAGGGAGGAGGATTAATATGTCGCTGACGTTTAGTGGCAGTGACAGAAGCATGAATGTGCCCAGACAGTGAACGGGCTTCCACCCCCACCTCACGAACTCATGTAGCCCAGAAAGCCGGAGCACATGACGTCTCACTTCAGCTCTATGATCTATCGGTTATTTCTTTTTCTCCCTTTCTTTGCATTTATCCTGTGTTCCTCACCAGAGCTGTGTCTACTCGTGCATCACATGCTCTTTTCTTCTACCCCTTCCTGTTGCCCCCTTTTCCTTTGTGCTCTCGCCATCATACAAGCAGTGAGATTACAATCTCGTATTTGTAAATGTGTGTTATTCTGGTGCACGCCAGAGTTTTCAGCTCATTCTCTGTTCTTTTATCTCACATTGAGCCGCTGGGTTTTCCCTGATTTGAGATAGTTCCACGTCTTTGTATGTAAATGCCAGCCCTATCTAACCCTTTGTTTGCCTGATACCGATGTGACAACACTGGCTTTCCCGTCATAGGTGCCAGCGATGATGCAGTGAGCTGTGCCGTGATGCTGGAAGTTCTCCATTCTCTGGCCAACGACTCCACTCCTCTTCAGCATGGAGTTGTGTTCCTCTTTAACGGGGCAGAGGAAAATATCCTGCAGGTGAAATGACTTGCTTGTCGACTTCTCTCTTAGTCTTTCATATTTCACTTTCAAATTCTTACTTAATGTATTTTCTTCTCTGTTTTCTCTATCTCTGCATCAGGCCAGTCACGGTTTCATTACCCAGCACCCTTGGGCCAAGCAGGTGCGCGCCTTTATTAACTTGGAGGCTGCAGGTGTTGGGGGCAAGGAGGTTGTTTTCCAGACAGGTAATTCAGCATTCGTGTTTGAATGGTCTACTTTAATTCTCAGCTGCACGTTCTCTCCCTGCTTTGCTCTCTGTGTTAGTTTTCCTTTAATTTGGAAAACTTGCAAAAAAAGAGTGTGTAGGAAGTTTTGCAGTCACAGATTCTGCCTTCCATCATTACAACCATTTACTGTCTAGCTATTCTGACATAACCTACACTGCCTGAGGTGCCTGTGACTTTACATTTGTATATTTAACATTATCTGATGCTTGCCACAACAGATGCATGTATTACATTAAACAAACTTAAATGCCTACATCACCAGTGGGAAAGACATGAGAGGGAATAAACTACACCATTAAACTAAAATGACCAAACTTAGAGGAGATAACGATCAACTATATAAAATGTGTCAGCAGCTTTTCCTTTCTTTTATCCTCAAAGGTCCAGAGAACCCGTGGCTGGTTCAGGCCTACGTCCAAGCAGCCAAACACCCTTTCGCCTCAGTGGTCGGCCAGGAGGTCTTTCAGAGCGGGATCATCCCTTCTGACACTGACTTCCGCATCTACAGGGACTTTGGTAACATCCCAGGTAAGTACAGTATAAAAATGAATGTGAATGAAAGTGAATGAGTCCAAAACAAGAATCTAGTGGCTGACGGATCTACAAAGAAAAGGCGCTTTTATTTTGTCTCTTTCTGTGATCTCATGTTTTCTTTTGGGTTTGATTTACAGGCATTGATCTGGCTTTCATTGAAAACGGTTTCATCTACCACACCAAGTATGACACCGCTGACAGGATCCTGACAGACTCGATACAGAGAGCAGGTGAGCAAATAACCACGTCTGCATCCGTTCTTAAACAAGGTTCTGCTTTTATTTAACCCTTTGCAGATACACTGTCACCTGCTTGTTCTGTCTGTCAAAGAGAGAATGGTCATTGTAGCAGAAGACGGTCCACCCCATGTTTTATTACATTTTTTATTATTTATCCCTCAGTGTCAGATGGGTCAGCACTCTGCTGATCTCATTATTTCCCTCAGAACAAAGAAGTGCTTACATACCTACACACATATGTTGCACTTGCCCTCATTTACCTCATTTGCTTCGTCGCTGAATTATTTTGCTTAACATAGAACAGAATCCAGTCAGTCAGCACTAAAACCCAGAGACAGTTGGCATGGGTTCTCCCTTCTTCAGCAGCTACTGGTCATCTCCCTCCTCATCTCTCGTGCAAGTCACTTTGTGAAGGCATGAATTATTAGAGAGAGAGAGCGAGGCTTTGGAGAGGGAGGTAGGAGGTATTTTTAGTTGGCGGATAAGGAGCAGATGTAGGGTGGAGAGTGGATAAAGCAGGAAACACCAGTAGCTCTGTATCTGCACAGCAGGTGTCTGGTCCAAACCTCCCAAAAATGTCCTGCGTCACAGCTTTGCTTTTAGACCAAAAAAGGGCAAGGCGCAAATGCACGATTCATTTTTGTTAAAATCAGATATATCCTGGATTTTGTAGATGTTTGAAAAACAAAATGGAAGCACAACCATTTTATTACCTTTTAAAAGTAACCTCATCATAATTTCAGATTTGTCACAATGAAATTTAGACAAGAAGATGTTGTTTACACTTGTAGGTCACAGTGAGGACTGGGCGGAAGAACAATGGAGCTTTGTTTGGCCTGTGTATGTGTGTGTGTGTGTGTGT